TTAATTAATTATTAGTAGTATTACTACTTACTATTAGTAAAGTAAGTTAGTACTACTACTAGTATACTATAGTATAATTAGTTCGTTGTAGTAGTATAGTATATATATATATATATATATATATATATATATACACTGTATAAATAGTATTTGGACTTTCTCTGATTGTCTTGAGTGAGTGATAATTTACATAGCATATATCTATATTGATGTCCTTATTTAGATGATAATACTTATGGATAATACTAGAATTATCTACTTATCTTTATTTTAGTAATAGTATATGTTCTATATGAATCATAATACTGCATATAAAAAATTGTTGTATTTTTGGCTGAGATTTTCCAATATGGATGGTGTTGTATGTTCATAAGTGTGGTTTTATATTTTTTGCAGAAATAAATGGATATTGTGCATTTTGTTTGAAATGCAGTATTATGAATTAATGTGGATGATAATGTATGAATACTGCATTTTTCTGTATACATGGATGGATGTATTTCAGATGGATGTTAAGAGGAGCACTGGAATTCCCCGCAGTTTTATGGTTCCAGTAGATGGTCCAGAACACAAGGGAGCACTGCTGACAAGCACTGGAGAATATGCTGTTCCACTCATTGATCAGTGAGTGTTTTTAATACAATAAGTAATTTCTGACACTGTATTGCACTTGTAAGATAGATAAAAACTGTTTTAGTCTCTTCTATATTTTGATATTGTACTTGTTTTAACATTTTATTTATTTTTTACTAATTGTTATCAGAGTGAAGAGTTGAGAACTACCAGAAAGCTAAATGTATTTGAAGTACTTAATGCTACTGTGGTGAAGTTTATTTTCTTGGATTTTTTTGGTTATACAGAATTAAAAGTAATTGTAGTTTGTTAGTGCTGGACATAAAAAGTAATCCTAAAAATGAAGGTGCTGTTGGCAGCCCCTTTCCACTATTTTTGAGATGTAGCACATGAATTGTTTGTCCATGCTGTGAGGAGCATTTTCACTTTTTGTTGAAATTAATTTAGCCTGTTCCTCACAAAATCTTGTGACACCAGACACACTGATAAAAAACTCTATACACATATTAATATCTAGATGGCTTTATATGGATGGTGGTATTATGTTTTTTGGTTATACATCTCAATGTCTTTGTATGGATCTTTGTGTTTTTATGTTCTTTTATGGATGGTTATATGTCTAATGACCTACAAATATCATCATGTGGATAATATCATACATTGTGTATGCATTACTGGTTTATAAGGACTTTGTGAAGGTAATGTGTATGTAGTACATAGGTGTTTGCTAACTTTGATGTTTATGATGATAACAATGGTAATATTTTCTCCAGACATATTTTGATAGCCAAGGGTTATTTTATGTACGAGTTTATAGAATCACTTTAAAGGTATTAAAACTAAAATGAGCTAACAGTAAAACTATCTCATTTCTTTACAGTCAGGCATACAAAGAAGTAAAAAAGGAGAAGCCTCCATTTCTGAAGGAACCAGAGCCAGAACCAGATCCAGAACCTCAGATCCCTGAGGAGCTTCAGTGTATGATTTGTCGAGACTTACTTCAAGATGCTGTCCTCATCCATTGCTGTGGAAATAGCTTCTGTGATGAATGTTAGCATCATTTTACAATTTAAGTATTAAGTATTAAGTTGTTAAAATTTAAAAAGTAAATTTACTTGTATAATGTTTAATAGCATGGTTTGTTGATGTTTGGATCTACAAAAAATAATTATATTACAGTTTGAAAGTTTAAAAAAGATTGAACTCGGTTATAAATAGAAACGTAATTCTGTAAATGTTAATGCGAACATCTGCAGTGCAATAATGTATCTTATCAGTAAGAATAGTACAGTCAAACATCACTAACATGAATAAACTCACTTCTTTAAATGGAACTTGCTTCAGCCTACTGTAGATTTATTTTATTATATATTATAAACCATAGTCGTGAGAAAAAGAAAGGTCTACACCTCCAAAAAATTTTCTTACCAAAAATTATCACAGAAAATCTAAAACAAAATCGTGAATGATATAAGAGTATTGTACAAGGTTCAGTAGTGCAGCCTATATTCTAAGCCATGAAGAATTTAGTGGGGTATTATGTGGTGACAACAAAGACATTAAAAAACGTTAACGTAAAAGTTGAGACATATTGTGTGAAGTTTTGGCTTATAATGTAGCACTAGTGTATTTAGAATTTATTTTTATACAATGAGTGTCAATAAATTTTTTTTGTAGTCATTTGTGGAGAACTTGCTCAAGTACAAATAATATTGCTGTAGTTTGTGTTAAGTATTGAATATGTATTTTAGTGGTTAGTAGTACAGTCTGCAAAAATTTGAGTTAAGAATAAAATAGGTACAACAAAGGAATATAAAGAGTTTTTTTTTGGGTAAGGAAATTTGTACCAGGAATTGCATTAAGAATAATAATTGTAATTTCAACCACCTTTTAAAATTTTGTACTTTATTATTTTTTGATTAATATATTATACTTGTTTTTATGTACTGACAAAATGATGTTCTTGGTTTTTGAACTTAAGATTTAGTTTTCTTATATATTGCTTAAAGTTTTTAAAATTATTTTTAGTAAGACATTACCATCACGACCCTATATATATCTAAAGCTGATTAAAAGCTGTTATAAAAATTATATATTATTGGGAAGTTCTTTGTTAAATACTTCTTTGGGAAACCTTATGTGTTTGATTTGTTTTAGAGATTGGGAAAATATTAAATCCAAACTTGTGTGATTCTTACAGGTGTTCGTCAGGCACTTCTAGACTCTGAAACTCATGAGTGTCCAATGTGCCATGAAACTAATATTTCTCCCGACACCCTTATTCCAAATCGCTTTTTACGTACAGCTGTCCTGAATTTCAAAAATGAAACTGGCTACACCAGGGTAAAAAAACTAGTTCAAAAGTTAGCTGAAGCTTCCAAGTGTACTCCTACAGGTTCACCAGCTCGTGACCAGCATCTCGGGAAAAATTCTGCAGTCAGTTCACCTGTCCGAGATCAGTCAATTGGAAAAAATTCACCATCTCATGACCAACTTTTGGGGAAAGCCCTGATTGGCTCACCTGCTCGTGACCATTTAGGGAAAAACATATGCATGGATTTACCACCTTGTGATGAAACTGTAATGAAAACAGTGATAAACTCACCATCTCATGAACAACCTGTGGAGAAAACACATACAAATTCACCAGCTCGTGACCAACTCTCAGGGAAAAAAGTGATTAGTTCACCAATTCATGAACAGTATATTGGAAAAAACACTCATGTTGATGTAAAATCTCATGATTCAGAAATAAAGGCAGTGAATACTTCAGCTTCTCTTGACCAATCTCTAAAGAAAAACACATCTGTAGATTCTTCAGTTTCAAACCAATTTGTTGGCACTGCTGGTTCTTCAGCCTCCCCATTGCATGAACAGGACCAAGAGGATCATGCAGCTTCCACTTCTATAAGCCATACAATAGGACAACTACCATCAAAAACCTGTGATTCTTCAATTAGTCATGAGCAGCCAATAGAAAAACGATTAGAAATAACATCTGTGATAAAGGAAGGCCAAACAAAAGAACTTGTTCAGGTGAAACAAGAAACTTCAGGAGTGAACCAAGATTCTCCTCAAATATCAAAGGACCCTTTCTATGTAAAAGAAGTTCCTCAACTGAAGCCAGAGCTCATCCATTTGAAACAAAACACAGTTCAAGTGAGACAAGAAGCTTCTCTTGTTAGACAGGGATCAGCTGTAGTAAGACAGGAACCCCTGTATGGTAGAAAAGGACCTGAAGTAAAACAGGAACCATTTCCACATCACCCAATTCAGGATCCACCTACTGCAAAATTACAGTATGTGGTTATATTTCCTAATTTGAACTTATTTTTAATTTTAAAATGCGGATTATTAATTAGATGTAATTTGAATTAAACATTTTCATATTTTGGGTTTTGATGATGCATTCATTTTTCTTATGATCCATATTTTGTTTCTTGTGGATGTTTTGTTTTTCTTTACTTTAATTAGGTTGGTGTGGTGTACTGAAGAACTCCATTGTTTGGCAAAGCTATGTGTTTTTTTTTAATCTGTAGGATTGTTAAGCTCTTATGTGTGACAAAGTAATTGGAAATTTTGTTTAGGTAACCATAATGAGTTGCTAGCTATTCTCTTATTTCTTTAGATAATCAAATATTAAAGTATTCTTTGTGAGGCACTGATTAGTTTAAAGGTAAATGTCTTTGAGCTGTATATGGTTTTATACTTTTTTAGATATCTTACACACATTTTGCTGCTGGAAAAACTAATTCTATATTACAGTAACAAGTTACTTTTCTGCTTACTGTGATGTGAACATTACTTTTAAAAATGCTTGTGATTAATATGAAACTTCTAGACAGAAAGAAAATATTTGTATTAGAAATGGTCCTTAAGAATATTAAATCTTGACCTCACAGTCTGTGCTACTGAATTTATGGATATTGTACAGTTTTATTTTTAAACATACTTAAATTTAGTGTATTTTAGTAACTGTTGTCAGTTAAACTAGCAAATGAGGAGAATAATATCAAGTAATTGTATTTAGAACTTTCACCTACTCCTACAAATATTTCTGTACATAAAAGTGTTTTAAATTCACTATTACAGAGTACATGTTAATGTTTTTTCTGCTACTTTTTAACTCATTTAAAATAGGTAAATGAAACAAACATCAGAGGTTCATGCTTGTGAATCTGACTGACATTAGCTAGGTCACCATAATTTCTTTTGTAGCCAATATTTTAACCCAGAAGTATTTTGTTTAGCCATAATTCTTTATCTCTAGTCACAATATACATCAATCTAAACCTGCACAGAGAAGAACATGGGTCGAGCAAAAATCTTCACCCGAAAATGATTTTCAGCTACTCTTGTAGATTATTATTTTATTTTGAAATATATGGTAATAGAGAGAGAGAGAGAGAAGT